ACAGTTACCACTCAGTTGGAGCCTAGAGACGGTGCCAACTTGCTGGTGGTTACGTTCGATACGCCGCCAGGGGTGAGTAAACGGCCGTCATTCTTTGCTAAAGGCCGACCTACACTTTGTCTCGTTCGAATGAAACAACTCCGTCTTACAAGCGCTGAAACCAGCGGGACACTGTGGCATTGCAAGCCACATCCTTTACTTAGACCAGGTGCTAGCTCCCTACGCTTCGACAGCTGGGGAGCTAATAGTCACGCACACCCAAACTATGTGTGATCGTACCATGTGTCATTAAGCTTTGAACGATTCCCCAAAGCCATAATATACCCGTCTACTCAAACAACTGTCTGCACTAATCAGACGTTAAAACATTCGAAGAAGGTTTCTGGATTTTTTCAGAGCAATTTAGTCAAAAAGCCGCTGGATTTTTTTAGTCTAACAGTATGCGAAAGATGACACACCCGTTTAGTTCAGCGTCATCCGAAGAGCCCACTCCAGAACAAAAATTTACAGAACGTACTTGAAGGAAAAGCCGAAATCGCAAAAACACCCGTAAAAGTCTATAGATAAATGAAGGTGATCCGAAACCCTTGCATAGTTTGCAAACGAAAAACGAAGGGGCAGCAGATGTTGCACTTTTGCGCTATTACAGCTTCAAGTGAAATACAACTCTTACTTTGTGCAGATTGAGGTCCATTTGATTAGAGAAAGCAATTCCCATGGCTCTGCATTCCTCGAAATCGCATAAAAAGTGCTTCTCCTTGTAATGGTCCAATAACTCAGCGTGACCGCTGGAAAAAGTAAACGGTAAAAATGACACCGACAATGTGTACTTTGATAAATACTGAAGGGTAACCAAGACATAATGTTCACCCGAAAAACACATTCAGATGCTTGCCCTCAGTTTCACAAAACTGGCAGAAGAAATGCTCTTTTCGAAGATGTCGGTACCGGAATTCCTCGTCGAAGAACCGTTGATCGCAGAAGAGACAGGAAGGGTGTCCTTAATGGCAAACATATTGAGCAAAGTTACAAACGTAATTTTACATGAGAAAAGAGTTAGCTAGTAGGTCTGCTCTATTCTAAATTGCATCTATACAACTTCAAACATCAGAGTTTGTCATACCTTTCAAGCTTTTGTCGTCTCTATCTCCGGTACGAATGTGCCGTTGAAGAGCGTCCCGAGTATAAGACTTTCTTTCCCTGGACATTAAGAATATATAGCAGCCAAGAGGAGTCTAAGAAAAAAGTACTGACCTTGAAAAAAGTATGATGTTCTCCGTACAAATGTGGCAATAAATCAAATCATGGGCACTCGACATATGATGCCGTAACGCAACAAACGTTGGGAATTCCAGACGCTCACCATTATGACTAAAAGGAAAATCCAGTTATACTCTAGTTCGCTGCGGACGGTTGGACGTGTCAGGCAGTACGAGTGTGCCACGGCGTCAAAGCCGCTCTCTGCCTTCTTGTTAAAGCGTGCATGCGACAAAAAGTGGTAAACGAACGATATGATACAGTCATATCATTTGCTCGCTTTAACAACTGGTGGAGAACGGGTTTGGCACCGCGCCAAACTCATCCCGCCTGACACGCCCAACCGTCCGCAGCGAACTACGCTATAAGCTTCACGTCAACTACACTACGCTGTTGCGAATATAAAGCAGTGTTAAAGTCTCAGAGTGTGAGGCTGAAAGCACGCGTAACTTATTACCTCTTACAAATTTTGCACACATGAGACAGATACTTCTCGTAACGTTTCAAAACATCCGCATTTTGAAATTGAATAGCAAATCGTTTCTCGTCCGGATGATTCAACGACGAGAAACTGAGAGATGCTGTACCCAACCCAGCCGATACAACATCAACCATAACTGAAAAAATGTGAGAGATATTTTTCTACATGTTTCAACTGAATGCAGTGTGCTTGCGGGGGGGGGGGAGGTGGGGTGGCGTGGGGTGAGGGTAGGGGCGCTCCCTAGTTGGACTACGCAGCGTCCTGCTTGCTCATCGGTACTTTCTCCCGAAAGATGAATGTTCCAATATTCCTATTATTGTGAGCGAATATTACACTAATTACTTCATGCGCTCAAATGTCGGTACATGTCGATGTCTCGCGTGCATCCTTCTCAGGCATAGACAGCATAAAAATGTGCACTGCTGTGCCTGCGTCACGATATGTACGCCCTCATTAGCGTGAGAGGGAAAAGTTCAACGATGGCGCGTACGTCGGCACGTGCCGCTTGATGTCGGTGGTTGTGCGAGTCGCGTGTCACGCTGGACACTGAGCGGTGGCTGCGTCATTGCGTCTGGTAAATTAGCCCTCAATTATCTGCTCATGTCTCTTCAGTCTCTTACGTTGCTGCCTGAGTGCAGCGGTAAATAGATGCTAGGCAAATCACAATATTGAATCAGGCATAATTTTGAGAATGGTTCACCTATTCAAGGTATCTCTCCAGCTGCGCTTATGTATCGCTCTAATGCTGTTTGTGTAATCTCTCATCACTGTAATACTTCTTGGCCTTCCCCCTTTGCCCTGCCTCTTCTTCACCAAAGGTGTCAACACATTAAGGTGTATGAGCACTATCAGCCCCAGATTCGATGATGTCGTGTCCCCCGCCCAAAACCTGCAACTGGGGACAGAGTACGGGACCGCGTGGGAAGTCGTATATTCCTTGCTACGCGCACGTTTCTTTGCAAAGCTCAGGTTTGTTACTAACAGTCTCGCGTGGCGCGGTCCGTGCAGCTCTCTTGGCTTCTTTTGCCAAGTCCTGTAATTGCGCTTTGGAATACAAGTACAACGCAATTTCTTTATGCGGATAACATTTTAGGTTCTGCAAAATAAGAACTGAAGATGATGACGAGGGCTAGAACTCAAGAGCAACTGTGCTGCTTCTGCAACAGCCCTCGCAGGCCGCGCATTCCCACAAAACATCAGCCAGCCCAATTATAAAATTCGCTTTGTCTGTTTGTTTTTGTTTGTTTGTGAGTTTGTAAGTTTGTAAGTTTGTCTGTCCGGAAATTCGGTTCGACCTGAAGAACGACTTGGAGAGGTCCAGTCAAGGTGGGGATAGGTAGGGCATGGGACAAGAAATAAAAAGCACACTTGACCTATGGCAAGCCCCGCCCACAGTGGGCGGGGCACTCGCCGAAAGTTTGGGGTTCCGCAGAAAAATGTTCATAATTCGCTTCCGGAGCAGCTTAAAGATGGGACTACAAGGGAAGGATACCAACTCGTCATGGCCATTCAGAATGAGATGTATACCACTAGAAGCGTCTTCGGACGCTGATGTCAGATCTGACTTCCAAATCTGCTAAACGATTCTGGGTGAGAAGTTACGGACCTTTTTTGCTACCGTGCTTAACCATTGCGGTGGGCCCCCTGCCCATGCTTTGCGCTTGTGAAACCCCTCGTGACACAGCTGTCCCGTGGCTCGATGGCGCAGCAGGTAAGTGGATGGACTCATAGTTGTGGGACGGAGGTTCGGATCCTTGATGCATTTCCTAGTTTTGCTTTTTCTTCAAACGTATGCTAAACACTTGGGAAGTAGTTTTGCGTACCTGTTAGACCACCAAGACACCTCCCTGCTTCTTATTAGGCCCTATGTTGAGCTTTTGGAGAGGGTTTCATTTTGACTTCAGTGAAGCATTCATTTTGATAGTATCTCAACTCAACTTCCGCAAGTGGTATTCGGTAGCAATGAAGCGGTACCTGCTCTTCATGCATGGAAATAAGCAGCTTTTCTTTCTTTGCACTAGAACGGTAGAAGGCTATGGTTTCACTCACCTAAACAACGCACATACTATGCTATGGAGTTGTACAAAGTCCATAAGTGAGACAATGAGACTATCAAACCACTTTCTCTATCGGAACCTCCACATCCCCAAAAGTGACTGAAGCTGTTCTTCTAGCTCTGAAGGGAACTTTCTTCATCGCCATCATCAGGTGACCAGAGGGGATCCGTATGGTCGTCCTCTACGAAGCTATCTTCCTCGCAGTCGATTATAAAATTGTCGTGCAGTGCGTCGCGCAAAATAGCAGAGAAGCTATCTGCAATCTTCCTCTCTTTGCGGGATTGTGATCGAACAATATCGGAAGATCCAAACTCTTTCACTAGGTCTGATAGCACCAGAGTCGGGTCGAACCAGGGCACATCGTTGTTGGACAATCCCCAATAGGGGTGGGTCGTATTTGGTCGCCAGGAGGGGGGGTCGTATTTGGGCTGAGAAAAATTTATTTTGATAGTTGATTTTCTCGCTTCATGGACGTTGCGACGGGGGGGGGGGGGTCGTACTTGGTCGTTGTTGGGAGGGGAGGTCGTATTTACGTTTTGGTGTTGTAGGAGCGGTGGTTGACTTTTTGTGATTTTCCTGTTTCATGCGTAATAAATACCCCCTCCCCCCGCTTGACAGCCCAAAAAAGGGGGGGGGGTCGTATAGACCGGCTGACGTCCCCAACCAATGATGTGCCCTGGGTCGAACATTTCTCCAGTTATGGTAGGCACGGTCGTAGAGCTGTTGGCTGACGTTGTGAGCGTGGGTGAATAGAGCTACCAGAGATTTCGAAATCTCGTTGGCCACACACGTTGTCATCCTGCGAGATGGTGAAATGTTGCAATTCACGTGCTTCAGGCAGGTATGCATGTGTATTTGATCCCTTGCTTGAACGAGTTAGGTAAAAGTGTCATTTTCCACGAAAATCGTTTGCGGGGCTCAATAAAGAGCAGAAAAATGCAAAAAAATGCATCAATATCCGAACCTCGCTCCCAAACTAATGACGTCCATCCACTTCCCCCTGCTGCGCGCATCGAGCCACGGCGACGGTTTTTTGGTCACGAGGGTTCACAAGCGCAAAGCATGGGCAGGGGGGGCGCCACCGCGGTGTTAAAGACACATGGTACGCTCAAACACATTAAGGGTGTATGAGACTAACAGCCCCCAGCTGTCGATGTGTCGTGGTTTCCCCGCCCGAAACTGCACGGGGTTCCTAGTACGGGACCGTGGGAAAGGCTTATTCCTTGCTACGCCGCCCGAAATGCAACTTGCGCGCGGCGAAATGCAACCTGCGCGCGGTGCATTTTGGGCGGCGTAGCAAGGAATAAGCCTTTCCCACGGTCCCGTACTAGGAACCCCGTGCAGTTTCGGGCGGGGAAACCACGACACATCGACAGCTGGGGGGCTGTTAGTCTCATACACCCTCAATGTGTTTGAGCGTACCATGTGTCTTTAAGCACGGTAGCAAAAAAGGTCCGTAACTTCTCACCCAGAATCGTTTAGCAGATTTGGAAGTCAGATCTGATATCAGCGTCCGGAGACGCTTCTAGTGGTATACATCTCATTCTGAATGGCCATGACGAGTTGGTATCCTTCTCTTGTAAGGTTAGTAAGGAGTCGCCAGACTAACTGTGGCAGGTACACCCTAAATGGGCGGGGCGTACTCAAGGTGGGCGGTGCTTCTCGCAAAATTCAGTAACCCGGTTCGCGAGTGTTTGGAAGTCGCAAAAAACTCAGTGTAGAATGTAAATATCCGGCGAATATAGGGCACGCTCAAAGTGTGTTGAGACCCGCCCACAGTGGGCGGAGCTTGCCCTAAATCGCAGGGTATTCATTTTAAAAGTTTGTAGCTCGGTTCCAGAACACTCCAGATACCGGAAAAAAAAAGTGGATTAAGTTCAAGAGGGTCGTCGGTGAGGACTGTGGGGCAAAAACATTGGTGGGCGGAGCCTGCTCCGAGGTGGGCGGAGCCAGACAAAAAAGGTCTGTAAAACGGTTCCAGAATACCAGACACCGGAAAAAAAGTGGATTAAGGTCAGCAGAGGGTCGCCGGTGAGGATTGTGGGGCAAAACATTGTGGGCGGGGCTCCGAGGTGGGCGGAGTCAGACGAAGAATCTGTAAAATAGCTCAAGAGTACTTCAGACACCGGAAAAAAGTGGAGTACAGAACAAAAGGCGGATATCAGTTGAGTCTAGAAATATGTGAAAGAAAATACGCGCGGCGAAGCCGCGCTCGCCCGGCGCAGCCGGGCCGTATCAGAAGGAGGCGCGCGTTGGAGGCGAGCCGACTGCTCAACAATAAAAAGCGGCCTAAGCGTCCCAGTTAGTTTGAAGTATTTCTATAGCATTAGAGCCGGATTCGAGCCGGATCGCAGAAATGCACACGCGGTTTTAATTTATTGCGTTTCCTTAGTTTTTTCAATTTTGTTTTAATTTAAGTTCTGGACATTCGTTGTTGTTCATTTCTAGCCTTTGTCATCTTCATCACCTTCTATTCGGACTTTGAAGCATGAGCAATACCTCAAATGTTAGGAAATTGCGTTTTGCTTGTATTGTCATGTTTTATTGTCATGTTGTCCGTTTTTATTTTCATGTTTTGTAGGGAATGCCTCTGAGGGATATTGCAGAAGCACCGCCGTTGCTCTCGAGAGCCCTTGTCATCATCTTCGGTTCTTATTTTGCAGCACCTAAAATGTTATCCGCATAAAGAAATTGCGTTGTACTCGTATTCCAAAGCGCAATTACAGGACTTGGCAAAAAGCCAAGAGAGCTGCACGCGACCGCGCGCGCGGATGGTGTTAGCATAAACGTGAGGGCGGTGTAGCAAGGAATTACGACTTTCCCACGGCCCCGTACTCTGACCCCGTGCAGTTTTGGGCGGGGGACCACGACACATCGACAGCTGGGGGCTGATAGTCTCATACACCCTCAATGTGTTTGACGGCGTACCCAGCGTGTTTCTGTTAAAGACAGCGCCCGCGATGGACTTTGGCAGGTTTCAGGGGTCACATTTGCTAGAACAGGTGGCCAATGAAGCACTAATCAAAAAAAGCAGGAAAAAGGTGTGGAAGAGCGTGAAATAAGACCCTATGAAATTT